ATATCTTATATGTTGAGATAATAATTTTTTTTATAATGTCCTGTAATTTTAAACAAACTTAATGTTGATGTTCATACATCTATGATTGATTCATTTCTTCAACAAAATTAACGAAGCTGCAGGCACTAACTTAACTCTATTTTCATTGCGCCTTTCAGCAATTTGAAGCAACCATGCTTGCGGGGTCCCTCCCTCATTTTATCGATTTCTCGTGATCACTTCACTCTCACGGCGTGCAGCGATCCGAGACAGGGCTTTTTCATTCTTGTAATGTTCAAGGTGGTCGGAGTCAACGACCCCCTTCTTTTTATTATTATTATTAAATTAAAATATATTTTTAATTTTTAACTTTATGTAAAATTTTAATTTAATCCTTTAATTTTATAAAATGTTTTTTAATCCTTTAACCCTAAAATTATTAATTTTAAATGATTATTTTTTATATCAATTATTATTATTTTAAAAAAATTAAGCTTAATATGTCAACATTTAAAAATATTTTATCAATATTTAAAAATTTAATGTAAAAATTTATTGAAATAAAACTAATAGTATTGAAGTTAAGAGATTAAAAAGATACATTATAAAATTAATAAATTAAAATAAAATATTATGTAAAATTAAAGGATTAAATGTTTACTTTAGTATTATTATTATTATTTTGTTATTTTAGGTTGTTGGTCTTATTTTTAAAATCATTGCTGTTTTAGAGTTTAGTTTATTGTTTCAGGACCGCCCATGACCTCCAACTTTCAAAGCATCGATCATTGAATAAAACTTGTGAATTCTAAGCACCATCTTCTGCCGTGATTAACTCCATCGACACCAACCCTTTTCTTTTAATTTCTTTCTTTAAAAAGAGACAGAGAACCGTAATGAAATGGCACAGGCACCCTCTCAGGCCTGTAATCTGTATCGCTCTTTTTTTTTTTTTTAGTTTGGTCTCAACTCTCTGTATTAACGAGTCTTCTCTAACAGCTTACAGTTCGTCAGATACAACAGGACAACACATACGCACAAGCAAGCAGAACAGAGACCATGACAAGAAGCTATCTCTACTCTTTAAATCGAACCAAGCTGAAGTACATGCGACAACTGTGATACGGAATCAACAACAACGCCAAACAGAACCCATGATAATTTCATGCTGACAACATAACCGTGATTCCTCCTTATCCATGACAAGTCATTAACCATATGAACGACAACGTGAACTTATATGACCGACAATAAATATGTTTACAATTTATAAACTCCGGGTCTGTCGGGTTTCATCTTACTAGTTTGCCTTATTCATCTTTCATATATACAATGTAAGATTTATTTGTTCAGCCATGTGATGGTGTCCAGCATTACTTTAAAATGGATTTGGTTGTTGAGTAACGTTAGATCTACTGACGACTGATATAGTTCCCCAAAGATTCCAAGAACATAACTGTGATTTCATTTCGCACGACAAAAGCCAGGTCATTAATTTTGGCCACAAAACCCATCTCTAATGCAATAATACATAGTACCCAAGACAATTTTTAAACTGATATGGAGCTCTTGTTTGCATTTGAAGGGGCTTCCACTAAAAGGAAGAGAAGAGAAGCAATTGACGCCAAGGAGGCTCTGGGCGACGCTCTTGGTTTGAATTTTTTTGGGCCCATCTAACATCCGTTTCGGCCGAAAAAGACTCGTTGGTCTCCATTAACATCAAATCCTTTTCCAGACCTCTGCCATCTCTTCTTTTGGGGTATGGTAATGAAAAATACGCAAGGCGATAGAACACTTATTGGGACGGATCATAGTGTCAGAATATGAATCAAGTTACGTGGGTTAACTTAAATACTCAATTATAAGAGTCGGGTTAGGTTGTAAAAAAATTAAGCTAAATAAAAACAGATTTTTCTAATTCGAATCATATATCTCGTAAATCATATAGGTTAACTTTGAGAGGTTAGAATTGACCCATTTAACTCATATTATTTTTTAAAAAATTTAAAAAATTAAAAAGAAAAAATTTTGTGAATATAAACCATATTAAACATGATTTACTTACTTGGATTAATTTATATATTTTATACAAATATTATAAATTAATATTTTGGTATATTTAAAATGAATCATAAAAGAACATCAAATTGAAACTTATTATTTAAATATATTTTTTAAAAAAATAAATAAATAAACTGACGTATTAGCACATTTAACTTACTAACTATTAAGGGTTGGGATTTTTTCAACCCACATAAAAATAAATTAAACTCAACCCAACTTTCATTTCTCTCAACGTATATGAATGGGGTTGGCATATATTTAAAGGTCCAATGGCAATAAATGGGTATTCTGAGCGAAAGAAACCAGAATTGATTCGCAATTATGTTACTATAAAATTGTTAAAACCCGCGTCAGCGTCGCTTTGGCCGAGTGGTTAAGGCGTGTGCCTGCTAAGTACATGGGGTTTCCCCGCGAGAGTTCGAGTCTCTCAGGCGACGCTTCTCATTTTGTCATGACAACCAAATCTTTCACAGTAAAATTGTAAGAGTCAAGCGTGGATCAAGAACTTAGACTGAGCTTGACGTGTGAGTTAATAAACCTGAAAATTTTTAGAGCCACAGGCTTGAAAATGTTAAAAATTCTTGCCTAACTCGAATTTTTGTTTCTTGATTTTTATAAGCCTGAACTACATGCCATTCGTGGTTGATTACTTAATTTGATCGGGAAGAAATTGTCATTATATTAAATAATTTAAATTTATTATACTCTTGTTACTTTTACTAGTGTTGTGCTTGACTCAAGAAAAAAAATTGTAAAGAGAGAAAATTAAGAAAAGAGAAAAGTATATAAATGTAATTTTTTTCCCTATGCTCAGCTGAGCGAGAAAAAATTGGAGAAAGAAAAAATTCTTAATTTCATGTGAATAATAATAAATTTATTATTTGTAAAAGAATATTTAAAAATTCTTAATTTCATGTGAATAATAATAAATTATTATTTGTAAAAGAATATTTAAAAATTCTTAATTTCACGTGAATAATAATAAATTTATTATTTGTAAAATAATATTTATATATAATAATAATAATAATTTAACATATTTTTATTTTATATATTACTAATTGAATAAAAAAATAATAATTTAAAATTTAAAGTGCAGGAAAATTAGGACGAAAATAAAGGGAGGTGACAAGTAGCAAAGGAAAAAATGGGTAAATTTAAAAATTAATTTTTTCTCCAAAATCTTCACATATTTAAACATAAAAGTTGAATGTAAAATGTATGGATCCTGTACGTTATTTTCCTCCTCCCTTTATGTTTCTCTCCTTAACTAAGGAAAAGAATGTTTTTTTTTTTTTTTCACTTTTCCTCTCCTGCTAAGCACAACTTAAAGGTCTCTATTATTTCTTTAAAATTTACTTTGTTTCCGTTTCATGTGACAAGTATTGTTATGAATTGAGTCACAGTAAATCTGTTGTTTTTTTTTTAATGGAAAATCTTCTAATCTACTTAGGATTCCCCCCCCCCGAAAAAAAAAAAAAAAACTATAAACGTAGAGCATTGATATTTCATGGAGAGACCGATTGCGGATCCTCTCGACTGACTTTTTCTGAATTGAACCTTAATTGAAAAATACTAATATAACCAGTTGTTATTCAAGAGGAGTTGCAAATTTTTTTTATAAAAAAATAAACAAAGGTGTCTTTATCTCAATATTATTAAATTACATGTGTTTGGATTTCAATTGAAAAAATGATTATTAGAATGTGAGAATATTTGAATAATATTTTTTAAAATTAATTTTAATAAATTGAAGATGTTTGAATAATTAATTTCAGAATTAATTTTGAATGTATAAATTATAATAAAGGACATTCAATTTTACAATATAATATTGATAGAATTAATCTACGTAAAAAAATAAGTTAATGTATTAACTTGAAATAAATTTAATTACATGTATATTAAATATCCATTATGATATTCATGAAACATGATGGCACCATAGCATCTAATTATGCTCCAAGGATCTCAATGGCCACTGATGATTTTTATATTAAAAAGAAATACATAGTTTAAATTCTAAAAATAAAAAAAAAATTGAAAAGGCTGTATTCAACACAGCTCCCAAGATGAATTTCCTATACCCCCACGCTCCTCTCATCAAATCCTCTTTTTTATGGAAGAATAGCGAAAATCAGAGTCATCTTGCTCTACAAAACAAAGGGGGCACCGCTGCAGACAAAGGGGGGGACTTCAGAGAAGATACTCGGCGTGAGAGGTAGGATTTTTATCCGCCATTGATCAGAATCGACACACCAGTAGAGGAAAAATTAGCTTATCTAAAATGGAGTTTCAAAAAATGAGGGGGGTTTGGATAAATGTTTCCAAGACCGAAGTTATTCTAGAAAGTATCCAAGCAGGCCAACAATCATATGACTAACATGCCCCAAGACTCAACTGAATTGTGTGGAAGCTCAATTTATCATGGGTGCCAGGAAGGTCCAAAACTAAAACAGCAAAGGGATCAGGGATGCGCCGGATCTTTGGACATGGATAACGTCCAGCCAATTTCGTACATCACCCTGTCTGAGTATTCCGGTCAACCTGAATTGATAAAAATCAGTTTTCTTACTCTTAACTTCGCTCCCGTAATCTTTCCCGTTTTGGTGGTCTATTTAGTACGTTAGCATTACAACTCGTGCGGTTGAAAAATAAACTTCTAGTAACAATTGTTCCCATCCAAATAATCCCACACACTGCTTCCTAATTCAACCTCCCTGCCTATCGCAGGACCTTAAGAAACAGAGGGCGTACTCATTCAAGAAAAACACGAAATCCATTTCAACAGAAATGAGCAACTCATCCACATCTTACACTCTTTTCAGCCAACTCAGGATCACCATCATGGCGACCTCGAATAATCATTGCCTGAAAAATTACCTCCTAAGACCCATGTACTTTTGTTCTCAAGTTCATGGGTTCTATCCGGAACCTAGCATAGTTGGGTGGTACGGTTGAAAACAAAGAACTGGTTCATCCCATAACATTTAAAGCTGATGCAAGATACAATAAATGTTGGCAGTGGGTATGATTACATATCTCATTTAAACCTCATAGAGATCATTTAACCCATACAATAAAACGAGAAATAATGAGATCCGTTTCACCCAAAGGATCCGTATCATTTGAACGGAACATAAACCAAGTGTATTACAGTGCACAACATCCAGTGTTAGTCCTAACAAAATGCCTCAAATACTGGAAAAGATCATATGAATTTTAGAGTCCAAAACCAAAAACTGCCCGTATCCTTTGGAAAATGAGATCCCGCCATCCTCTCTCTGTGTTCTCCACCACAGTGGCATTCCCATAGCTGCATTTGCAAGCAATTAGATCAGTCAACTTTAGGGGTCACAAACACTGGACAAAATGTCCAGCAAAAATATAAATAAATAAATAAACACTCACCTATCTTCCTCGGGCACATCAGAATGTGTCACCTTGACGATCGTAACCCCTGGTTCGGGTTCCTCAAACACAAGTCTAACCTGCAAAATTCATTTCCAACGGGTACCCTAATCTGTCAGTCACTCATGCATAAGAAATCCAAACCATTCAGAATTCAGGAAAAACAGAACTTACCGTTGAGTGAATCCCATCAGGCCAGTTCCCAAACCTCCATTTCTGCACAATCAGTTTAGCTTCCTGTAATTCCACATTCGTTCCGGTCACCGACCCGTTAAAAATGAAAAACTCTCCACCAACATCCTTGCTTATCTTCGCATTGCTCTGCGTGAAACCTTTCCACCTATTCTCATCCATCAATATCTCATATAAATCCCTTGCTCTGCAACTAAACTTCTCCGTCAAGGTGATTGTTTTACGACCTTTCTTGCCATCACTCTTCACCTTTTTCTCCACCACAGCCTCTTGCTTGAGAGCAGCGGCGGAAGTTGAGGCAGCTGGATTCTGCTGAGTCACTTTTTTGGGTTCTAAGTCGTCTTTGACAGGCCCACCTTTCGCCATACTCTCGACCCAGACCCTAATTTTGTCCAAGATTAAAGGTTTACCCCGTGAAATCATGGCCTCCTTGAGCCTCTTGCCAATGGTTCCTTCGTCATTGACAGTGACCGTAAGCTCAGGATCCTCATCGGCATTCTCGTCAGAGATATAGGGAACTTGCACGGTCCCATCGACCTTGAGCAAAGATTTGCCGTCGGAATCCTTGGCTTCTCCTTCCCAGGACAAAGAGAGATTGAGTTCATAGCCGGGAATGATTTTTCCCTTTCGGATATTGACATAGGCTTCGCCATCGACCTTGTCGACGTTCTTAGTCTTGATGAACAAATTGCCCTCGCCATCAAGAACGGTGAGATCGGAGAGAAGCTTGGAGAAGAGGTTTCTGGACCATTCAAGACAGTTAGTTTCAGCCCAGTGCCAATTGTGAACGTTGGTGCCGTCGGCCCTGTCCTCAACGATCCAGCGCTTGTCGCCCTCGCCGTACCTTGCCATGATGAAACAAGAGAAAGAAGGAAACAAGCTCCGAGAGAAGGGCAAGGCAAGATAGGATCCGAGAGGGTTGGGAATGCGCGGCTTGTTGGGGGCAAAGCACGGTGGAAAGGAAGACAGAAAAAAGAGCGAGGTCAAAATCTGGACCCTTCCAGATGTGGAAGGATCCAGAACCCCAACCAAGGCTCTTCCCCAATAATTGTCCAGAACCCTCCAAGGCCCACTTAGCCTCCTAATGCTTTCAACATACTTAACAACTTGCCAATAATCAGTTAATCACGAATGTTAACAACGGCAAATATGTTGCCCCTTTTTTTTTTTTTTTATAAATTTTGATTTGACAACTTTAACCCATATAACTTAACTTTAATCTCAAATCCACATAATTTAATACTAAATGCTCCTAAAAAGTATATCATATCATATCTTACTTTTACTTAATTCTTCATCCTAAAAGGAAATGAAATATATAAAGTCATGTTCCTCCGCTCCACTGTGTAATAAAAGATTTTCATGCATGATCACTATCATATGTCATGTATCAATTATCCATGAATCATCAAATCAAATATAATAATAAAAGAAAATAATACAATTTTTAATTCCTTACATTTATATAAATTATCAATTTAATTTATTAAGTTTAATTTTTATTATTTTTATTCTTAATATTTTCATCAGTTATCGAGTTAGTTCTCAAATTTTAAAAAATAAATTGGCCTTCAAAATAAGCTGACATATAAATTAATTTGTTGATATGGAATGAACCAAAATTTCAATTCCTAATTGCTTATGTGTGTTGATTTTTCATTTCCTATTTTTTAAAGGAGCTTTTGCAAATGTAGCCCATGCTGTAGGACCAAATCAAGTAATTTGCTCAACATTTATTATATTTTATATTATGATTGATTTATTATATTTATTAATAATATATTGTTGTATATTAATGATAAAACCTTTGTAAATTTACAAATTGTCAATGATAACTCCATCATATATCAATAATAAACTCCTTATGTATTAATGTAAATTGATCATACTTTTAACTTTTCAAAAAAAAATTCTATATATTCTAGGCGCAAGATTTCTTTTAAGGAAAAATATAAATTTAAACCTTTGCACTTTATTTATGTTTTGTTATAGATTTTTATACTTTTATTTTTGGTGTTTTAGTTCTCTAAATGAATAAAGTGTAGGGATTTTAGAGAGATTTAGAATATTAAAAAATAAAAGTGTAGGGATCTGAAACACACAAAAATGTGTAGGGACTTATAACAAAATGAAAAAAAAATACAGGGACTCAAAATTATAATTTTTTTTTGCTAGTAGGCTAATTTATCTTCTTTTAAAAAAATTGTAATTTATACTATATAATTTTCAATTAAAGCAATTAAAAACGTTTCAGAGGGGGAGATTGATTTTGCACGATGCTATAATGAAGGACATGTGAAGGCGGCTTGCGCATGACTAATATAAGAAATGGAAAGAGTTGTGCGACGGTGATAGTGAACATGGAATGATGGAGGATCAACAATCAGGCGAGACGATGGGAAGAGACATCCGTGCGAATGCTCTTCGTCCTTCTTTTCTTCGCGCCCTTGCTAGCACCTAGCAGACCTTGATGGAAATTAGTGACGTAATGTTTAGTTTTGTAATTTTTAAAATACTAAATATGTTGCATTTTTTTATTGCCTAATCCAAGCCACATTTTTTTATTCCCACAATATTAATTTAATGATTGTCACATCATCATTCGGTTAGCCATGACAGTGAAATTTGAAAGGTGTTAATATTTTCCGTAACATCAAGGTCTTCTTAACTAAGCACATAAAATGTTGAGGACTAAAATGTTATAAATTAAACTTAAAGGATTAAATTAATATTTCATGCAAGCATAAGAAATTAAAAGTTATATTATCCAAAAAAATAAATTATCTATATCAAGCCATCGATTCATAATTCATTCAAGGCTAAAAAGAGAGAAAAGTGCCAAAAAAAAACAAGACTTCACCATATCTCATTTTGCTGAAAAGGACTTGCAATACTAAGTCCTTTGGTGGCATTAATTCTGAGATCTAAATGACTAGATTACCCTTTTAATTAAAAAAAAAATGAAAGTTGAGCAAGGTCCTTTCATATTAATATGTTACATAAGATCCTTCGTTGTCAATATATTACAAGGTCCTTCGCTGTCAATAATTTAGTGACAATATGTAAAACATTGTCCTTTAGTGTCAATGTACTAAACAAGGTCCTTCGATATCAATATATTAAGTATATGTGTAAATTTTTAGGATATTCAAAATGATTATTTGATTAATAGAAGAAAAATTGTATTTTCTCGAAGGGGGTTGTATATCATGAAAGAAGGATTGCATATGGCTGAAGATACCTTCATATGGTCCTAAAACATGACACTTAAGTGTAAATTTTCAAGATATTCAAAATGGTTGTATGAATAAATGGTAGAAAAATTGAATTTTCTTGAAGGGTGGTTTCATATCGTGAAAGAAAAGTCACATATGGTTGAAGATAACCTGCATATGGTCTTAAAATGGGGGAAAAATAACAAGTCATTAAAAATAGGGTAATGCGTCGTGGCTTTTGCACATGTGCTGTGGCTCGTTGCACGTATCAAACAACAATTCTGCTATCACTTGACAGCAACCTGAAGCAACTTCTAATGTGTCCTATTTCTCCATCTAACATCCAAATCAAGTGAACTAAGTATTTACAGAAAGATCTTTCATAAACTAGCTAATGGCATAAGTTTTACTTTCAAATGAAGTCACACAAAGAAGTTGGACGTCCAAATACATTTTCACAACTTTTCTCACTTTTTCACAATTCCGTGGTATCCAAAACCCCATACATGTGTTAAAAGTAGTTCCTAACACCTAAAACACACTCAAAGGACTTATGATTAACTGTCTAACACCACATGTATATATACCCATTAATATCAAATTTTCACTCTTCAACCCCTTTAATAACAAAAATCAAAAGAGGAAGTTTCAGCATTGGATTTTAAAATCAACATTGTCGCGCTCCAAAAATTAAGTGTGACCGGCACGGGATAAATGTACAAACACACATCCCTTAAGCCTCGGTCAATACAATTTTTTTTTTCATTTGAAGTAAGATTGAAAATTATAGTAACATTTTTCATATAAATAAATATTCCTAAACTTTTTGTAGAGATTTTGACAAAATTTTCCTCTGTAAATAAAACCTTCCGAATCTCTACAATAACCACTTACAGACAACTTAATAATATAACATTTTACTTCTCAACAACAGACAGTCGATATAAATTTACAAACCAGAATCACATCTATAGTTAATGTGGAGCACATAAACTTAGTCTCAAAATATAGCACCTAATTGAATATATACATCAAACGAAAATACGATCTCACAATAAATATTCACCCAGCTCAGTGACAAGCCTTTCAATAATCCACAGGAGATTCAATATCAGGTAATGAATTTGAGACCAAAAATATTTTTTAGTGAATAGCATCCCCAAAAATAAAATTTAAAAGAGTAAAAATAATAAACTCAAATGATTATTAAAATAATTGACAAAGTGATAACTCAATCTATTAAACTTCATGAGCCAATAAATTTTAATCATAACCATAAAATCAAGTAAACTGGAATTGCTTTATTCACTCATGCCTGAAGAAAACAAGTTATTCAAATATAAATCAAAGTAACATGCTTACTAATTGAATTCATTGAAATTTCAAATACACCAATTAATAATAAAAACTTTAGAATTTTTAGAACTTAACAGAACAGGTAACAAACGTGGACACACAGTCTACGAGGGTAAATAATCAAACGCGGCTTATGTCATGAAAACAAACGTGGACACACAATCCACGAGGGTAAGTAACCAAACGCAGCCGAAGCCACGAAACAAACGTGGACACCCAGTCCACGAGGGTAATACTAACCAAACGCGGCTCACAGCCACGAAATCAAACGTGAGTACAATGCTCATGAATAACCATCCCTTCGTTCCACGTGCGTTGGCCTTCGCACGGGGCTAGCACCTCCTATAAACATCCTGCTAGCTAGGTGTACCATGGCGCCCCAAGGGCTAACGGAACTGCCGTTAGCAACCAGTGTTCTGTATAAAGTCCCTTTTAAATTCATTTTCAAACATGCGAGAAAATCATTACTTTCAAGGTACAGTTCTCATTCTCAAAATCGAACTCGCATGAATCATTTCAAATCTCAAAGCTTGCCAGAATAATATTTCATATCTAATGTACAAGCTTGTATTAGTTGAGTAACTAAGAATTCCCAGAGTAAAATAAACAAAGATGCTTTCATCAATCTTGAAAAATATATTTCGTAAAGAAAATACATGCATATACCATAATTTAATTAACCTTCATTATCATTCTATAATTTCCAAAACCAAATAATTTAATCAACAAAGTACTTAGTAATCGTCATAGTTATTAAAAATGATTTATATAAAAATGTAATATTTTTTTAAATAGATTACTTTTACTGATAAAATAATGGGGGTGCTATTCACTTACCCGTTGAAGTTCCAAATTTCTCAAGATATTTTTTCTTTTAATTCTTGTCAGGTTCCTTTTCTTCCACACACCCTATAAGAATATAAATAAATGAAATTTTTTAACATAATTTCAAATCAACCATCATCATTTAAAATTACAAAACCAACATCATATTTAGAGTTAATCTAAGTGTTATCATTAATATCACTAATCCTCACCAATTTGTTTTAATCAAAATCATCCATTCATAACTCCATAGCTTCCATACTAACATACTTTTCCCACCAAACATTATCCTTCATACTTATAACCTTTCCCATTCTTGAGGTAAACATTTTTCTCATAGATTTTGCACTAATTACTTTAGGTGCATAAATTCTAATTATTTGAGTTATATGTCCAAGCTACTCTTTTCCCATTTTTCCTTAATAGTTTCTCTAGCCATATTTAATCCAATTTAGATTTATTTAATTTCAAAAATTATGACTCACACACTCACATATATATATACACATATTTTATCTAACTTTAGAATGGACTTCCAGCTCAAATTTGAGTCCTCTTCCTCGTATAACAGCAGCGACAGAGAGCATGCATAAATAGTATTATCATTTTTTTTTAACTCCAATCACCCACACACAATCACGGATAGCAACAGGGGAATCAGGTT